CAGATAGCAAAGGGAGACCTTTGCACAGGGTAGAGGGATGCTTTTAGAGGATACAAATAAAGCCCCAGTTTCCCCCACCTCTCTAATGGATAAAGGCAACATACACTTCCACAGTGGTTTAGCTTTCTCCACTGTTAAAAGTTGGGGCACGGGAAGGGGTTTCTATTGCTTTTCTGCCTGACTCTCCACCCTGGAAGGAGAATCAGTCTCCTTTCTCCTCAACCCCTCCGTGCACATTCACTACAATTGTGAATTTGCTACAAATGACATACCGTCTAGTTATGAAGTAGCCTACAGCCTAACGATTACAGCTAGCTATTGTGCACCTGCTGCATGCTAGACCCGGACCCCAGGCTGGGCACTCTATATACATTTTTGTAACAGTGTATGTGTGTATGTGTGTGTTATATACTCATATATATATATATAAAACCACTTATGAGCTGGGTATTACCTTTTTGCAGAGGAAACTGAGGCAGGACTTTAAACCTCCATGATTCCCCCAAGTGATGATTCATTTGTTCATTCAACAAACATGTACTGGTCGCCTGTCTGCCTCAGGCATTGTGCTAGATCTGGAGATGAACAGGACAGAGTTTCTGCCCTCACAGAGTCCACTCTCTAGGGAGGGAATTGATGATGCTGCAAAGATTGAGCTTCTTCTCACTCTGACCGTTCTCAGTGCCAGCCCGAGGTGGCTGTTATGGGGCCGAGGACTTTTCAGACTAGGGCAAGATTTATTCCCCAAATTAGTTGTTCTTTATAAAGAAATTTGCAGTGAGGACTGGATGGGGAGGAGACGACATGGTGGAAGTGGAGGGCAGTGGATGTGTGTTCTGGGAGCTTGAGCGGGGAGCAGGGAGAGGACACAGCAGTGGCCTGACTGCTTACTAGGCCGCTTCATAGCCTGGCATTTGCTGGGTAGACATGGTGCCCTCAGATTGTCCAGCCTCTCTGGCAGGAGGTAGGAGGGAAACAGGACAGATGGACACACCCTTGTCTCTCTGGACTGCCCTCTGAGGTCCCAAGATGGCTGGTTGGATGGGAGTGGGGTGAGGGTAGAGTCACCTTTTTGCCCCTGGCAACCTGAGTCAGTTCACCAGTGCCGCTGCAACACTGCTGCAGCCTTCCCTGGCCTAAATCGCTTCCAGTTTGTTTAGTCAAAATCCTTGGCCCAAACATCAAAGCCCCTTTGGAGTTTCTGGTGGTTGTTGTTCTTATATGGTGTTTATTTCAGAGATGGTTCTGCTGTTACTGGCTGTGTGGGGTGGGACAGCAGGGGCTCCTGGGGCCCTTGGGTTTCAGAGACACCAGGAGGGGAAGGTGGAGGTAAAATTTCCATGGCAACCACCCTCAGGACACTCTCTCCCCTATGCCTGCCTCTAGGCGCACAAAAAGGGAGGCTGCCTCTTCCCTTGCCCAGGGCCCCTCAGACGAGTCTCTATTCCCCTCAAATTTATGCTAGACCCCAGGGGTCAAGGCCATGTCAGCCTCCCCCTCCCATGACAGCTCATCTTAGAAGCCATGAGCTCCCTCCAAGCAGTCAGCTCTCCACTCTGCACCTTACCATCTTGGCTCCTCTGCGCCTCGGCCTGGTCCCCAGTGCCTTCTACACCTGCATGGCCCTTCTTCAGAAGAGGCTTTCCTTCCTTTTCTTTGGACCCGATTAGCTGAACATGGACCTGGGCTGTTTGAACTTATGTTTGGCTCCATTTGGCTCTGAAATCTGCACCTTTCTTGCCTCTGAGTTTGTGCAAGTTCTAGCAGGTCCCTTCCTTCCTGCAAATTGTTCCCCAGTGCCTAGCACAGGGTAAGCACATGGAGAAGAGGGGATGCTCTGTCCAGGTGAGCTGGATGGGGCTGGTAGTGAAGAGGCAGAGCTTGTGGTGGCCTCCACTCCTAGGAGGCGGAGCTACTAGGAATCTCTCTAGGAAAAAGCCTGCACTGGGTGAAGTGGAGGCCAACTTTAGGCCACAGCCATTTGCTAGAACAGGGACAAAGGAAGGAAAGAGACATGGGGAAGGAAGGAGGCAGAGAGAGAGGAAGGGGTGAGGACATGTATGTGTAACGGGGCCAGGTCTTTGGTAACCAGTTATTGAACACAAAAGGTTACAACCATGATCTGCAGGGACAGTCTTTCTGGGCTGACTACTCTCTTTCCTACATTGTTCTAGGAGCCAGAGGGGTCTCTAGCCTCCCCGTAGCCTCTCTACCCTTCCTCCACCACCTCCTTTGTTTCTGCTTTTTTCTCCTATCATCTTCCCAGGCTATGTCCTTCTTGCCCCTGAGCTTCCCATCTGCTCTCTCAATGTTCCCAGACAAAGGCAACTTCTAGTGCACCGATGGCCACCTTTTAGCCTCCCCCATTGGATAATACTTCAGAGCTGCTTGCTAAAAATGGGAGCCCAGCTGGGAGACATGGAGTTAAGACTAGGAGTGAACTCAGCTATTGTCCCTGTCACGGGACAAAAGGAAAGCTCTGAGTCTGAATCTCCTGCACTTTTTCACACACTTCTGAGCCAAGAACTAGGTCTTTACTACAGGGAGTACCCATCTGGGAACTTGGCCAGTCACAGGTGAGCTCCCCGCTGAGTGGTCCCTCCCATGGGGAGCCTAACTGGATGTGGCAATTCAGAATGCCTAGACATAGGCTCCCTGTCTCCAAACCAGCATCATTAATGCCCTAAGGAGCTGGTCTCCTGATTAGGAAGGAATGCAGTTTGAGCCACCCTCTCCCAGCATAGCTCCTTTGGCTCAGTCGTACAGCAGGTGCCTCCCTCTGCGCCCCAACCCCTTTCTCTATGCTCACCCCACCTTAGCAGACTGCTCATTAGTTAGTAATGTTAATGTGGCTGCAGCTGGTGATTAAAACCATTGGTTAGACTGAGGGTTAGTGGTCAACATCCCTGGCATGTTGCTAATCCCTTGGAAATATGTTTTTAATAACCATAGGGGAGGAGGTCAGGGTGGGTGGTCTTGGGAGTTGGAATCCAGTCATCTCCTGCTGCCCCAGCCCTCTGTTTCTGTGGTTTCTCCTGGGCAAGCACTGTCGGGTATGTTGGGGTAGGGGAACTGCTTGAGAAGACTGACCAACTCTGTAGCAGATGAAGGTGGTGCCTGGTACGTAGCTGCCTCTGCTAGTGGGGCAGGGACAGGGTTGTGCCAAGGGTGTGGCTGGAGAGGCCAATTGAAGTGCCTAGAGTCGAGAGGCTTTAGCTACATGTAAGGATTAATTCTGAGCCCTGTATTGCTCACAACTATGCCAAATGCCCAGGAAGGAAACTCGGGTTCCAAGGGTTCACTTGCCAAAACAACCCCATCCAGGCTTCAGGCTTCCTCAGTCTCTCTCTTTTTAGACGATCCTCAATTTGGAAGGATCCATTTCCCCTCCCTTAGGTTCCCCAGGCCTCCAAATTGTCCCATTCAATCATTTAATTTATGTAATGTCTTTTATAATATATAATTATAATGGTTATATTAATAATATAAGAGTGGGCACATAGGCCGGCCTGTGGCTCACTCGGGAGAGTGTGGTGCTGATAACACCAAGGCCACGGGTTCGGATCCTATATAGGGATGGCCGGTTCGCTCACTGGCTGAGCATGGTGCTGACAACACCAATCCAAGGGTTGAGATCCCCTTACTGGTCATCTTTAAAAAAAAAAAAAAAGAGTGGGCACATAATAAATGTGAACTATACATTAATATATTATGTGTAATAATATAATTATTATGCTTAACATTTTACTGACTGCCTACTTTGTCAGGCCCTTCATATATACCACCTCTTATGTCCAGAACACCCTGCCAAGCAAGTCTAGTTATCCCATTTTATATATGAGAAATCTGAGACTCAGAGAGGTTAACATACTCAAGGTCACAAAGCTAATAAGAGGCAGGGCCAGCATCAGCCCTAGATCTCCAGCTAACTTCAAACCCATTCTTTTCCAAGCCCATGTTCATGTAGGGAACATGAAGAATAAAACAATACATACTGCTTTTGAGACACTGATAATTCAGCTCCCCAGACATGGCATACACACCCTAAAAGTTAGATAACAGCACAAAATAACTTTTGTAGGGTGTTACCAGGCAGTGCAGGCAAGAGCTCGGGGAGTGGTACTGGCAGTATATTTCACAGGTTTGGAGGAGGGAAAGGCCACAAAGGCAGTAGGGACCACTTTATAGAGGAGGGAGACTTAAAGGAAGCGTTGGCGCTGCTGGTGGTGGGAAGAGCAGGAGCAAAGGTACATAACAGGTGGCTCTTCAATGGCAGTGAGCACATGGAACTGGCTTACTCCATCCTGACAACTTTTGTCCCCCACTCACAATGCCTGTAAGCAGGCCTGCCCTCAACATTTGCAGGACTTGGGACAAGAGTACAAATAAAAGGCCACAAACAAAATCTGTAAAGATTTAAGAATTATAAGTCAAAAAACTGTTGGATAAAATATACCTTATCCTCTTACCGTGACAAATATGCTTTCATAATGACTTTGGAGTTTGCACGGGAACATGGTGTCGCTGCCCCCATCCTCTGGCCTACCTACGTCTCCTCACACCAGCAGCTCTTTTTTGCTCTGCTCCTGTGAGGTCACCTCAGTAGCCCACGTGCGTGTGCTCCACCACCGCCCCCCAAAGACAACCTTCCCTTGACCATCTTAGTCCTAAGGGTAAGTGCACTTGCAGCTTGTTCTGCCCTCGGGAGAATGGATGGGGAAAAGGGCTCTGCAGGCCTCGGAAACAGGCCGGCTGAGGTCACTTGGGAGGGAATTCTGGGGATCAGGAGGGGTCCAGGACTAGGGTGAGTCAAGTGGCCCTCACCTCAAGTGTAAAATTTGAGGGATACCAAAAAACTTAGTAATAAAGGTAAATAATACTTTAATGCAATATTTAAAAAATCAAAATTAAGGCCAAAAAATCCATAATAAACAAAATATCAAAATTTTTAATAAAGACAGAACTGGTTTTACCGATTTCTTTTTCTATTTTTTGGTCTCAGGCTCCAATATGGTTCCACACAGTCCTGGGCCAGGAATCCAGAGCATATTTGAGAATGGAGAGCAGAGGGGGCTTTGTAAGCTCTGGGTAGGTTCCTCCCATAGAATCTGTTCTGTGGGGTGGGGAGCAACTGGAGGCTGTGAGAACAGGCCCTGGAGCAGGGAACTCTCTTGCCTGGAGCTTAAGGGTGGTAATAACTGGGAGCTCCGTGAGAGCTTCAGCATCTAGCAGAGTATCTGGCATTTAGTAAGCCCTCGATGAATCGTTCTGGAATAAATAAATAAATAACACTAATTTTTCCAACATCACCATCTCAGTCATATTCATTACATTACTATCTAGGACAGTCACTCTCAGCACTGCCTCAGTATCATCACGTTGGCCGGGTCAAGGGCATGAGTCGGGGTGGGGAGCAGAGGCAGGGAACCTATCAAGACATAGAGAACACTGAGCCAGGATCCTGGAACAAGCCATATGGGGGTTTAGAAGACAGGACAAAGAGGGAGGGAATGGAGAGGAGGGAAGAGCTGGCTCAGGGAGCACTGAAGGCCAGGCCAGGGCATGAGCAAGCATGGGATGCAGGGGAGGGAACTGTGCAGCCCGGCAGGAGTGTGGTGCATGGTGGGGGCGGGGAGTTCTGCACAGTGAATAGGGGCCTGGAGAAGGAGAATCAAAGACTCGGAGGAATGGGGATCCCAGAAGCCCAGAACAGGTCAGTTCTTCAAAAACATTTCCCAACAGCCCCCTCGCAGTCGACTCGGGTTGCGCACTGGTGTTTCCGATTTCAGGTCCCAGCCTCTCCCCGTCCCCCGTGCCCCCACCTTCCCCGGGGAAGGACAAACACACTTGATATATGAGGTGTTTCCACGTAGACGCTTGGGGATCCCACAAAGGTTCCAGTGTGTGCGGCCCCTCCCCCTTCCTCCCCACCCCCTTCCTTGCCTCCTGCTGTCTGGGAGTCTGGGAATGCCTCCTTTTCCTGGGGGTGTCATAAAGAAGGGGACATGCGGTGAGGGGGACATTTCTTGTCCTCTCCAGTCCCAGATCACGGGTGGGCGAGTGTGGGTGACTGTTGGGGTGTGCAGTGATGACTACTGGCCTCTCTGGCTGCCCGGAGGCTGCGGGGCAGGGGTGGCTTGGCTGCTACGTTTGCTTCTTTGCCTGCCCTGCCCACCTCTTTCCTGGCTGCTGCGGCCCCTTCTCCCTTCTCACTGGCAGGGGGAGTGTCGCACTCTGCCCTTTTCTCCAGACAGGAATCCAAAGGAGAAAGAAAACCGAATTTTCAAATGCTCCCAACGTGCCAGGCATCGCACTAGGCCAGTTTACAAAGCTCATCTCAATTCTTTCCTGGAAAGCTTTTGAGGTAGGTATTTTTACAGCTGAAGATGCAGTGAGGCAAGTGCAGTTGGAGGCAGTATGGCACAGTGTTCAAGACCGTGGCCTTCAGTGGTAGACAGGCCTGGCACCAAATCCAGCTCTCGGCGTCGTCAGCTCTATAAATGTGGCAAGCTTCTGTACCCCTCCCCACAAGCCTGAGTCACCTTATCCCTAAAGGAAGAATATAAGAGTCTTCACAGGGTTGTTAGAAGTCTTAAATAAGATATTGTGCATTGAATACCTGGCAAGTAGTACATAGTGGGTGCTGAGATTATTATTGATGGCAAGTCCTATACCCGGTGGGGGGCAGAGCAGCCCCTGAGCACTCCCTCACGAGGCCTGCCTCAGCAGGAGCCCTGGGTCCTGGGGAGTGGGCTTGGACCTGTACAGTCAGGCCAGGCTGAGGAAGTGTGTGCAGGGGACAACTCCATTCCGATTCTCAGGAGCCCTCTATGGAAGTACAGATGGCACACTTGACTCCAAAAGAGCCTGAAATCAGGTGGCCCTGAGGACACAGACCTCCCATCTCCCACCCACAGGCAGTGGGGAGGACCTACTCCACCACAGCGGGTGGTCTCCCTGGCCAAGCAGCTCCTTCTCTGACTCAGGGAGAAACTGCCGCTGGCCGTGGGCCACCCCAGCCACTCACACTGCCACTCACACCACATGTGTCCATCACTCTAACTCTTTTTGCCACTACAGTGAAGAGGGGAAATGGGCATACTTGGGTATGTGGAATAATGTTTTATGTGTGAATGAGTGGGTTATATGATGAGCGTGCTAGTGCAGGCACCCATGTGTAGGGTGTCTGCACGTTATTCTTATTCTGCATGTGGGGGTGCATGTATGCATACACAACTTTGGTCACACAACCCTCATATTTACCCTGGGGTCCCTGGGTGCATGTGCCTGCCATGTGCCAGGATATCTGCATGTGTCCACATGGGTGATTGCTTGTCAAACAAACTCCCTGGAGCTGGGGCTCTGCAGGAAGGGTCAGACAGCAGTCTGAGACACTTTTCATGGGTCAGGAAAACCAGGATCCCCTTTCAGGAAGCTTCCCAAGGAAAATAAACTAACCCAGCTCCTGGGGCACAGAGGGAGGGAGCTGGAGGTGGAGGGAGCTGGAAGTGGGGAAAAAGAAAGGGCTGAGAGTGGAGGAGGAGGTCACAATGGAAGGCAGCCAAGTGATACCCCTTTGACACCACCCCATCAATCCCATACTGATCTCTGGAGATCCTCTTCCCTGCACTATGTCCTAAGAGAGCTCTGTCCTCTTTCTCCTCTTCAGATTCTTCTTTCTTCTCTCAGATTCTTTTTTCTCTCCTCTCCATCTCTCTCCTCTCTCCCCAATTTCTTCCCTTCCTTCTCTTTTATCTGCCCTTCTCTCTTCCTCACAACTCCCACTGCTGTGCAGCAGACTGCCTGCCAATCATCTCTGTCTCCTCTCTCACCTCCACTGCAGGAGCCAAGGTCATGGTCCACCTATGAGAACAGGTGGTCAGTAGCAGTACAGGTTGTTTTTAACTTCTGTCCTTTGGTGCCACAAGTCCCTGGCTATTGCTTCCATCTATGGAGTTGATCTTTATTCACTGATGGGCTGATTGACTGCGTTGTTTATCACACGTTTATTAAGCAGCTGTTTTGTGCTGGGCACTGTGGTTGGCTCTAGAGCTACAATGGTGGGCAATAAGTGAGAGAAACGAGTGGGCTCCGCCTCACAGGACTTTCAGACTAATAGAGAAGTCAGAAATTAATCAAAGCCACACACATAAATGTAAAATTAAAACAATTTAAGGGCTGCAGACAGAGCGATAAGTATATGTATTTGAGAGCCTCTAATGGTGTAATTAGCAAGGTAGGGAGATGGGAAAGATTCCCTAAGGAAGTGATTAGGAGAGCTTTGAGGGAAAAGTAAGACAGAGGGAAGGGAAGGCACAAGAAAAGGCCCTGAGGCCAGAGGGAGCAAAGTCTATTTGTATAATTGAAATGAGGCTTATGTGGTCAGAAGAGAGGGAGGAATACAAGGCTAGAGCAATAGATTGGACCAAGCCATGCAGGTTCTCATCTTGACAAAAAGCCAGTATGTTCCAGAAGTGTGATGTATTTTATAATTTTTTTAAAAGTTAGAAAAGTATAGAGTTGGCCATTTAGCTCAGTTGGTTAGAATGCAGTGTTGTAACACCAAAGTCAAGAGTTTGAATCCCCATACCAGCCAGCCACCAAAAAAAAAAAAAAAAGAAAGAAAAGAAAAGAAAAAAGAAAGTATAAATTCATTAAGACTTTTAAGTGATTTTTTGTTTTTTCACCACAACAGCCCCCACACATATTTGAAGAACAACAGAGCACAGACTTGGGAGACAATGGAAAATTGCAATCTACTGATGATGCTTGATCCACTTATGAATTCCCAGGAGCCCCACAGGTTGAGGGTCATTGTGCTGGGGAAGAGACGAAATGGGGGAAGAGAATCATCCCAGTGTGTTGCTGTGGCCTGGGTCCGACTGAGGAAGCCTGGCTGAGCTCAGTACCCAGCTCCATACCCGCCCCATTGGGCTTCCACATTACTCTCCCACTACAGGGTCTGATCCTAGCCTTCTGCCACCCAGCCATGTGCTTAGCCCCTAACAGCTGGAGTGGCTTGTGCTTAGGGAGAGGTCGGGGACAGGCAGGCAGGGGCTGGAAGAGGGATGAGACAGCTGAGCAGGGAGGGGAGGAAGAAGGATGAGTGCGACTCAAAGTGTGGCCTATGGATCAGCAGCATTATGGGTTTTAGCAAGCCCACCAAATGATCCTTTGGCACTGCTAAAATTTAAGAACCAGTGATGTGGAAAGCAAAAGGCAGGTGGGAAGTGCTCTGGGCTGAATCATAGAAAATGGGAGTTGTCAGTCTGTTACCACCCACTCCATGTCACCCAAGGGCTTTTCATGTAAACCTTTCTGATAGAAAGGTGCAGAGATGGAAATGGCCTGGCTTCTTTAGGCCCAGCCCCTCACTAATCTCTCCTCGGTCTGTCTGTCCTCTTGTTCTGGATGGGAGGAGAGTACCCATCTCATCTTAGCCCTGTGTGGGGCCAGGGAGAGGAAGTGTCTCAGGATGGATATCAGGCAAAGCTTTCTGGCAGACACAGCTGTCCCTTCCAATCCTCTCCTCCCCCCCAGCTCCCTCACAACAAGCACACCCAGCAGCTGCAGGAACCACCCAGCCTGGCCCAGCTCTAGCCCCAATGTCCCCAAGCTCAGGGGAAGTGGAGTTCAACCTGTTCTTCCATGACTGCCCCTCCCAGACCTCCACCAGTGACCAGACCCACCACAGCCCAAACCATGACATCTGAACCCTTCTCTCCCTTCCCAACAATCTTCGCTTCTGGAAGGTATGGGGAAAAGCTGCCAAAAGTCATATCCTCACCCCAGGGCCCACAGCCTGAGCCCAAACCTGGCCATCAGCTCCTCAGGTCACAACCCACCCCCACCAAACACTACCCCACACTGTGGGTGGGATCTCATATCCACACAGGCCAAGCAGCTGGGTGGACCACCTGCCTCAGGAAAGACCAAATGCAAGGCCGAGAGGAAGGGCAGCAGTGGAGGAAGCTCTGACGGAGAGGAAGCAGGAGTGATAGAGCTGGGCCAGGAAGTCTAGGATGTTAGAGCTGGAAGGTATCTTAGGGATCAGCTAGTGCAGTCTTGACATTTTAGAAGCTCAGAGAAGTTGTCTTGCCCAGTGTCACACAGCATATTGGTGTCAGAGCCCAGAACAAACCTGATCTCCCAGTTCAATGCTCTTTTCACAGCTTCCCCCAGAACAAGAGAGGTAGTCAAGGGTATCTGTGCATAAAAAAGTGCTCTCCCTTAACCCTGTGCAGTCCCCTTCGTTACCTGGAGTCTTCCTTCCGGACGCTTCCTTTAGTTAACTCCTCGTTTCTTTTCCCCTATCACTCATTCCACTACTTCCAACTGCCTGTAGCTCAGTTCAGCAACTCATCTCATATTCACTCCATGTTTATGACTCTTTGTGTCTCAGGAGAGGGTGTGTGTGCATTTGTGTGTCCTGCCTCCACCATCAGACTAGGGGGTTTCCCCAAAATGGAGGCTATGTCTCTACCATCGTACTAGGTGTTCCTAGAGAACAAATTATGTCTGCCTTCCATTAGAATAGGAGCTTCCTTGCCCCAGGCTTCCAAGCCAGGGTGGTGGGGGGCCTCGGGCCTCGGCCATGCCCCCCCCACACCCACAACCAGACCAGTGATGACCACCAAGCAGCAGGTGGAGGCCCCCTGGTCTCCCCTGCAGGCATAAGGGGTGTGCCACAGGCCTCAGCCAGGCCCCTCCTCCTTCTGCCACCCTATTTTCTTTCCCCATATTCTCTCCCCCTCCCTTCCAAATGCTCCGCAACAAAATCTTAGAATGTAACAAAAATAATATTAATAGATAAACTTATATTAAAAAAAAGAATAGGTGCTTCCTGAAGGCAGCGGAATAGTGTCTATAGGTCTAATAGTGTCTTGCCAAAAAGACAGAAACTGAGCCTCCAGAATTTTGTTGGTCTCTTTCTCATCTCTACAGTTCTCTTCAACTGAGAAAGCCCTGCTGTTAGTCCCTTGGCCATGTGGCCTGGGACTTAAGAGCAGGGAGGCCCTTGGACAAGGAGTACCCGTTCAGAGACTATCTATGCCTGAAATGGCTGGTGGCATTTGGAGCCATTGGGGCTACCACCACCACCTTGAGACATGACTTGGGAATTCTGAGACAGCTGTTCCCATTCCTTGTCCATCCCAAGATTCCAATTTTTGTCACAGTAATTACAAGCCTTGGTGTTCTGTGGTTCCTGTCCCACTAGCCCTATTAGGAAATTCTCTAAAGTTTTGAGGGGACCTCACCCTACCTGAACTGGAGACCCTCTGTACTAAGGGAGTCTTGTGGAAATAAAGGGTAAGATGAGAGGCATTTCTTCCTCCCCTTGGCTGAGGCCTCTGGGGATGGCTAAGGCAGGTGACTTCATCTCCAAAGCTTCCCAGGTCCCTGCCCCTCCTTGGACTTCCCTCTGTAATATGCCCAGCCTCTCCTCCTCACCATCTTCCATAAAGAGTTGGGGCCGTAGTTCAGCAAAGGCCGTCAAACCTAACCCTTTAAGAAATTGGTCATGGAGCTTTTCTCCCTGTTCTCCAAATAGGGTGCTGGGATTTTTGTCACAACTCTCAACTTTCTCAAGTCCTGGTAGGGTTTATTCTGGAAACTTTCTGGTATTATCACCCTGATCATCTAACAGCCCCAGCCCCCAGCTGCAGAGGTGACGGGGTCTGAGTGAGTGCTACAGGTACAAGGGGACTTCAGCTCTGTCCCAGGGGATCCTGCCACAGCTGCCTCCCACACTGTGCTGGGCTCTACAGTGTACAGGGCACCTTCACAGACGTCATCCTAAGAACACATATTTAACAGGCTGGTGAGCAGTGCTTCCTCTGCCGCCCTCCATAACACCAGATTAGAGCACTTTCCACATTTAACTCTGTGTGTGTCACTTACCCCACCCCACCCCACTCTATCAAGTGTGAGCTCCCAATGGTCAAGGACCTTATTCACTTGTGAATAACCAGCAGAGTGTGGCATATAGTAACCGTTCACGTTTGTTGGATGGACTGATAGATGGGTGCATGGTCAGACAAATGAACATGATCAGTACAGTAGTCCTATGAGGTGCATAGGACAGACCCCATCCCCATTTGCAGATGAAGGAAGGAAGACTCAGAGAGGTTAAGAAGCGGATCCAAGGTCCCACAGCTCGTCAGTAGAGCTGAAACAACATTCTGGGCCCTTTTGTTTGGTTTCAGTGCCACTAACCTTTGTACGACATCTTATAGCAGTGCCAGCTTAGAACCAAACCCAGTCCCCAGACTCCCAGCCTGCACCCAGAAGCACTGTGTGTGGTTGAGCAAGTTGTACACTGCACAACCCCAGGAGGTGTTCCTCACACAGAGTCTCAGTAAGTAGCATTCCCTGGAATTGTTGCAGGACACAACCCGCATGGCTGTATATGGATACTCTGCCTCCACACTCATTCCTCAACCCTCTTTGTGCACATATTCAAACACTTGGGGCAACAAGAATTCATCCCCTCCTCCTCCTCTTCTCCCACTAGCCAGGGTGCCAGGCAGCAGGAGCTCTTGGGGGGCAGGTGAGGATCCCTGAGGAGTATACAGCACCCCTTCCCAGGACCACTGTGTGCCTCTTGCCTCCCCTGGTAGGAACACGTCCTGTCAAACCTCACCATGCCTCAACAGCCCCCTCGTATGTGCCCACACCACCTTCTCTACACGCTTCTCCCCCACTCGTGTGAGTACATACACCCACACACATGCACCAAGCAAGATCGAGGGGTAGAGCCCCAGCTCTCCAAGCTCCTGTCTGAGACTCAACCTCGCAGGGGGCTGAGGGCTGGGGGCTGGCCTCCCTTAGCAGAGCGCCCTCCTCCTCCCCCTCTGCTCGTGTGCAGGGCCCCTCCCGGGGAGCAAGGCTGGGATTAATAAGCGGCCCGGCTCCCTCCCCTAATGGGCTCCAGCTGCACAAACATTCCCAGAATTCAGAGCCGGCTCTGTCTGGGGCGGCCCAGGCCTCAGCCCCAGCATTCCTGGCCCCTTCCTCCCCCAAGCCTGGGACAGCTGCTCCGGAACTCTGGCAACTGGCTGGGGATCGAATCCCAATTCAGCTTTTCCAGGGGTGGGGGCATTGGAATGGCTGGGGCTGGGGGTGGGGAGGGGAGGGGAGGAGAGGAGAAGGGAAGAGACCGACAAACTCTGCAGGGACATCTCAGTTCCCGCCCTGCCTGCTCGCACGCCCACCCTTCCCCTGCTCGCACTGCTCACACTCCTGTAGGTACCAGGGACCCATCTCAGTCTTACCTAAACTGTCTCTGTAGGTTGAGCCCTTGGCTGGCAATTTCCAGGAGGAGGTAACCAGGGCAGGGCTGGGAGATGATATAAACATCTCCCCTTGTGTTTTAAGAGATCCAGCTGTGTGCCCCATGGAATCTATAGCCTGGCAGGAGCTTGTTCAAACAGATTCTTATTAAGAAGGGGGAAGGTGTGGCAAAGGGAGCAGGAAGAAGAAGAAAAGTAGAGTCCTCACCCTCCCATTATCCACCCAGGTAGGGACATTTAGGGACCCAGTGGCAGGAATCCTAAGTGGACAAAGATGTGTCTGTGTTAATGATGGCTCTGAACCTGTCTTCTCTTTCCCATCTCTAGATCCAGGGCCAGAAGGGGTTGCTCGGCTGTCCTTGCCCTGTCGCCCCCAGTTATGGACAGCTGCGGACACCAAGGGCTGAGGCCAGGTGAGGAGTCCTGTGACTTGTGTTGTGCCAGGGTCCATCAGAGTGGGGGACTGGTGGAGACCACAAAACCTAATAGAGGAGTGTGTGTGACTCTTTGTGTGTGCATGTGTCTCAGTGCCCCAGCACATGCACCTGCTTGATGGTGTGTGCAAGTGGAAGAGTGTGTGTGCACACTCATGCACACCAGCCTCTCAGTGTTCAGAAACGCCTGAAGTTCCACACTCACTTGGAAAGGCTGCCTGCTGGCCTTGGAAAGGCTCCCCCAAGTTGGATGTGTCCCTACCATGGGGCATGTGCTAGAGAAGAGAAAGGATGGTAGAAAGAAAAGGGGGGTCAGTGAGACAAGAGCCCTGCACAAGGCTGTGTAGGCTGCAGAGGGCACCAACTTGGGAATTTAGAAATGTGCATCCTGGCCTCAGCTCTGCCATGAACCAGCTAGGAACTTTGGACAGGTCACTTCCTTGACATGAGCCTCAATTCCCTTACCTTGAATATGAGAAGGTTGGACAAGAGTCTCTCCTAAATCCCTTCTTAGATTCCACTCAGACAAGAGCTGGGTTGGGGGTCATAGGGAAGATGCTCCCTCCCCTCAGAGCTGCAAGAAATAGGGCTCTGGAGAGGCCACCAAGAGAAGCCAACAGGGACTGTGGGGGCTCCCCAGGTCTCCGTGGCCCTGGAGGGGAAATTCAGAATTCATTCTCACCCGGGGAACCCCAGTCTGTAAGGAGGCCAAGTATACCGTGACATGGAGACAGATAAAGGCAGATTCTCTCAACTGGCTAAGTTCTTTGTGGCAGTCCTGGGGTCGGGGAGAAGAGGGTCATCGAATCAGAGAGCATGGGGTTGGTGACCTTCTCTCCTTCATGTACAGACAGCAAACACACACACACACACGCACGTGCACACGCACGCACACACACGCACGCACGCACACACACGCACGCACGCACACACACACGCACACACACCCCACGCACACACACGCACACACACACGCACGCAAGCACACACACACGCACACACCCCCACGCACACACGCACACACACGCACGCAAGCACACACACACGCACACACCCCCACGCACACACGCACACACACGCACACACACACACACACACACACACCCTCCTCAGGCCCTGCTGAAGAATGCAGACAGACCTCTGGATATCTGTCCCCATCAATCACAATGCCCATGCATGTCACATCACCTGCTGCCTCATGGGCCCAGCCATTTCTCCGTGGAGGCACACACGGGATGGTTCTGTCACGGTGTTTGAGCTCTAACTCATCATTGCTATATGTCTCAACCCCTGACTGCACCCCCAACTATGGGACCAGCTCTTGAGTTGGTGGGAGAGGGTGAGGTGAGACCTTCTCCTTTGCATAAATGGAGACACTGAAGGGCTTTGGGTAGGGACAGGAACTCAGGAACTGGACCCCATTTAGGACTCTATCCAAGTGAGCCTCCTGTAGCCATTCATCTGGCATTTAGCAAACAGCTACTTAGTATTTAGCCCTGTGTCAGAAACTGAAGAATACAAAGAAATAACATTTCCCCCAGGGGTATGAAGTCAGAAAAAAAAAAAAAAATTCCTTTCCTAAAGCCAAAGGAGGATTGGAACCAGCCCTAGGCTGACCCAAGGAAACAGAGTCATCAACATACAATTGGGTTTTAGAGCTGTTTGTACAGGCACCAGAGAAACAACAGACCAGGACACCTGCACCTCCTAGATAGAAGCTCTGGATTATAAAGCTGTAGGTGTTTAGCAGGGATACTTACGAAAAGAAGAAAAGCAGCAGACCATGGTGGTGGAACTCTAAGGTAGAAATGGGCAAGAAACTGAGTTCACAGCCTGTCTCCCCCACTCACCCCTCCCTCCCTCTCTGAGTTATCTATTGAGTAACAATCCACCCCAAAACTGAATGGCTTAAAACAACAGCAAGTTTTTATTTGTTCACAATTCTGCAATTTGGGCATCACTGAGGCCTGGCTGGTTCGCTCAGTTGGTTAGAGCGTGGTGCTGATAACACCAAGGTCCAGGGGTCAACTCCTGTACCAGCCAAACATAAGTAAATAAATGAATGGGCAGGGTTCAATGTGGACAGCTTTCCTCTGCTCCATGCAGCGTTGGCTGGGGCAGCTCCACTGGTTCCTGAGCATCCAAGATGGCTTCACTGACATGTCTGGCCCTTGGAAGAGATGGGGCTGACTGGGCCTCTCTCTTTCTCTTCATAGTCTCTCATCCTCCAGGATGTCACTCTCCTCTTTCTAAGAAGCCTCTCTGTCCTCCAGAATGGTCAGACTTCTTTACATGGTCGCTGGCTTCCAAGAGGGCAAAAGTGGAAGCTGCCAGCCTCCTAAAACTTAGAACTGAACTACCGGGGTATCAATTTTGCTGCATACTATTGGTCAAAGCAAGTGACAAAGTCACCCCAACTGCAGGCTAAAGGAGCAGCACGCATGAAGGAGAAAGCACTGCTGGTGGCCGTCTTTGCAGATAACACCCACCACACTCCCCTAACTCTGCTTCCTCTTTGTTTCTCCTTGGCTGGATGAAAGGCACTATCCTCCTCCCACTTAATTCCTTCCTCCTTCGTACCCTATGTCTGACCAGTCCCCAGGTTCTGTTATTTATGCTTTCTGCATGTCTCTCAAATCATTTGCACAGTTACTACCATTCTCTTACCTAGAATGCTCAGCAGCTTCCTAGAAGGCCTCCTATTTCCACGGCTGCTTCATTACAATGTTACTTTCCACCGTTCAGCCAGTGTGATCATTCTAAAGCCACCCCTGTGGGGAGCTGGGTGGCTGGGGGACAGGAGAGCCAGGGAGACTTGTGCTTCATCATGTTACTTTCCACCGTTCAGCCAGTGTGATCATTCTAAGGCCACCCCTGTGGGGAGCTGGGTGGCTGGGGGACAGGAGAGCCAGGGAGACTTGTGCTTCATTATGTGCCATTTTGTACCATGTATATACCTTTCCAAACACTAAAATGCCTTTAAAAAATGTACTCAAACTCAAATTTCATAATAAATAAAATAAACCACATCCTCAGTGTGTCACTGAAAACTCCTCAGTGGTGGCCCATGATTCCCAGGAGAAACTTTGGACTCCTTAATGGAGCTTACAAGGCTCTTCAAGATCTGCCCTACCTTGCCCCTCAGCACTTCCCAATTTAGCACTCGATGCTCCAGCCAAGTGGAACTTCTCTGAACTTCTTGCAGTTCCTTGAAAGCACCATTTCCTCTCTTGCCTTGCAGCTTTTGCACAGGCAACTCCTCACAGCACTCTCTTCATCCTTCAGGTCTCACCTGAGATGTTGTTTCCTCCAGGAAGTCTTCCATGGTCCACAAAGTTGAGGTTTGACACCTCTTCTGCAGATTCCCATAGTGCCCTTGACTTGACTAGCCTTGTGCTAATCGCACTGCATTGTAATTGCCTGGTTCTCCAACTGTGCCTCCCACTAGAGCATACGATTTCAACAGAGCAGGAACCACGCTGCATTGCTCACTGCTGTTCACTAGCACCTGTGCTAGAATAGAGGGGAAAAAAGGAAGAATGGGAGGAAGAAAGAAAAGGAGGAGAGAGGAAGAGAAGCTGGTTTAAAAGCTGCAACAGCTCAGGAAACTAATCTTGGAGCATGAAGGGGGAAGTTTTACTGTAAGAAATTATGTGGGTAAATCTCACAGAAGTTAGATACAGAAGAAGGCATATTTCATGATTCCATTTCTAGGCAGTCTATAGGAAGCAAAGTTAATTAGTAGTAATAAAAGTCAGGATAGTGTTTACCTCTAGAGCAGTACTCACTGGAAGGGGACAGGAAGAAAATGTCCTATATCTTGATTTAGGTCGTGTTAATGTGAGTGTAGACACATGTAAAAATTTATTAATCTGTACTGAAAATTAAAATGCATTTTATACAGTTTACTCTATGTTATATCTCAATAAGAAAGTAGAGAGGAAAGAAAAAAGGAAGAAAGGAAGAAATTCTGTGGCCAGAAATTCAGGCAGACTGCCTAGTTGGGTGACAGTGATAAAGCAGTTACGATCTAGGATGGAGGTACAGAACTGGGAGCTAGGCAGAAAAAGCTGTGTATATGTGTGTGTATGTGTGTGCATACAAGGGAGTGAGGAAGCTGGTTTATATGGAAAACAGGAGAGTAGTGCAAAAATTTGCTCATCCATTCTTCATGTATCTACCTGTTCCCTCCCCAAAGCCTTCACCGTTTTTTCCGTAAGTACAGCATAAAGCCCAGGGTGCTTGACTCAGCATTAGGACATTCCACTATCTGTCCCCCACCCACACCCATCCAGATTTATCTCCCTTGCCTCGTGCTCATTCTCCCCACATCCACTGTACAATGCGTGCTTCCATGGGCTCTTTGCTTGGATAGGTGTACCAATCCACACAGAAATCAGCTATCCAGGCTCTTTGCTTAGGAACTCCTACTCACCATCTTTATTTTCATGGCACTCTGCTCATTGCCAGATAGTATGTAACTTGCCCTCTTGTAGATCACAGCTATTTGTGTATGTTTCTGTCCCTGTCTATAACATAAGCTCTCCAGAAGGCAGTGGTAATGTCAGTGCCCAAATTTGCAGCTCTAGCCCTCAACTCTTGTCTGCATCAGAACCACATTTCTTTTCTTTTTTTTTTTTTTGGCCGGTAAGGGGATTGCAACCCTCGGCAGGGTGTCGTGCGCACCATGCCCAGCCAGTGAGTGCACCGGCCATCCCTATATAGGATCTGAACCCGCGGCGTCGGCGCTCCCAGCGCTGCACTCTCCCGAGTGAGCCACGGGGCCGGCCGAGAACCACATTTCTAACTGCCTACTGGATATCTCCTCCTGAAATAAATGTTCAAAACTGAGTTAATGATAGAGAGCCTAGAAATAAACCATTACTTATATGGTCAAATGATTTTTGGCAAGGGTGACAAGACCATTAAATGGGGAAAAAAATAGTCTTTTCAACAGGTGGTGCTGGGAAAGCTGGATATCCATGTACGAAAGAATGAAGTGAGACCCTATACACCATACACAAAAATTAACTCAAAACAGATCAAAGACCCAAATGGAAGACCTAAAACTAAGAAAATCTTAGAAGAAAACATAGTGCAAAAGCTTCACTTCATTGGACTTGGCAATGATTTCTTGGATATGACACCAGAGATACAGGCAATGAAAGAAAAAAATAGATAAACTGGACTTTATGAAAGTTAAAAATTTTGGTAAAAATCTTTAAAAAGGTTAAAAAAATTTTAACTTTTTAAAAAGATTTAAAAATCTTTAAAAAAATTAGCTCACTTGGGTCGGCCCCATGGTGCAATTGGGAGAGTGCGGTGCTGATAACACCAAGGCCACGGGTTCAGATCCCATATAGGGATGGCCGGTGCGCTTACTGGCTGAGCATGGTGCGGGCGACACGAAGCCAAGGGTTGCGATCCCCTTACCGGTCACAAAAAAGACACACACACACACAAAAATTAGCTCACTTAATTAGAGTGTAGTTCTGATAAAACCAAGGTCATCAGATCCCCATGCTGACCAACTGCCAAAATAAATAAATAAATAAATAAATAAATAAATAAATAAATAAATACGATTTTTGTGCATTAAAAGATGATAGAAACAAAGTAAAAAGGCAATCCATAGAGTGGGAGAAAATATTTGCCAATCATGTATCTGATAAGGGATTAATATCCAGAATGTACAGAGAACTCTAAAAGTCAGCAATAGAAAAACAACCAAATTCAAAAATGGGCAAGGGAATTAAAAACACATTTTTCCAAAGAAGATATTCAAATGGCCAATAAGCACCTGAAAAGATGTTTGATAGCACTAATCATTAGAGAAATGTAAATCAAAACTTCAATAGATAATACCTCATCCATTAGGATGGCTACTGTGACAAAAAAAAAAAAAAAGAAAAGAAAAGTGTTGGGAGGATATGGAGAAATTGGAATCCTTCTGCACTATTGGTGGCAACATAAAATGGTACAGCTGCTGTGGAAAACAGTATGGTCATTCCTCAAAAGAAAATTTTTAAAAAATTTATCATTTATCAATGATCTAGCAATTCTACTTCTGGGTATATACCCAAAAGAATTAAAAGCAGGGTCTCTGAGAAATATTCATGCATCTATGTTCATAGCAGCATTATTCACAATAGCTAAAATGTGGAAGCAACCTAAGTGTCTGACGGATGAATGGATAAACAGAATGTGGTGTATACAGGCAATGGAATATTATTCAGCCTTAAAAAAGAAGGAAATTCTGACATAGGCTACAACGTGGATGAACCTTGAGGACAATATGCTAAGTGAAAAAAGCCATCACAAAAAAAATACTGTGTGATTCCACTTATATGAGTTACTTAGAGTAGTCAAAATCATAGAGCTGGAAAGTAGAAAGGTGGTTGCCAGGGGCTGGGGGAAGGAGGAAATGAAGAGTTACTATTTAATGGGTATGGGTATAGTTTCAGGTTTACAGACAAAGAGTAATGGAGATGGATGGTGGTGATGGTTGTACTATGTTATGAATGTATTTAATACCACTGAAATGTACACTTAAAAGTGGTTAAGATGGTAAATTTTATGTTATGTGTATTTTACCACGCTAAAAAAAATTGGGAAAAACTGTTAGTTAATTCCTTGTGGCAGAAACAGTCATGCCCACCCTACACTGATTCCATGTGCTCCCCCTATGCTTTCCAGCCCTCAGTAGTTAGGAGAAGCCATAGACTGATTCCAGCCAATGAAATGTGGGTGGAAGTGACATACATCACTTCTGGGCTGGGGTAATAAAAAGCCCAAACATACTTACCTACCATCTCTCTCTTTTCGTATGTAACAGAGGAGGCAACTTGAGGAGGCCATGTGTTCCAGATGGAGTAGCCACACCATGGTGGTGCCTCTGTCAGCTTGGATCCCTGAGTGACTGCATGGAGGCCTCTGCTGAGCACATGGGACCTGTAGTATGAGTGAGAAAGCCAATGAGATGTTGAGATGATGTGTTACTATAGCATAATCTGCATGATCCTAATAGACTCTCCACTGCCCAGATCTGCATATTATCTTTATTCCTTATGTTGGTGAATAGCTTATCATCTACTCAGTCATCCCAGCTAAGAAACTACCTCAAGCTCCTTCCTCCCTCATCTTCCTCTTGATTCTGACAGACAGTGCTTGGTCCAGGCCTCATCATCTCTCCCTTAGATCAGAATTAGCATCCTACCCAACCTCCTTGACTTCAGCCTCCTTTCTCTAGCCATCCTCCACATTGCCTCCAGAGTTCTCTTTCTAAAACAGAATCTGATCACAACCCTCATTCACTTAAAGACCTCCACCTGCTCTTCATATTCTATGGGATAAAAGCCAAAAACATAAGGCTGGCACCAAGCACCTTCACTGCTTGGTCATCCTACCTTGCCAGGCTCCCCTGTCACCTTATGCTGTCAGATCCAACCACATGGATGACCTGTGATTCCTCAAACATTGGTCTTTGTACACGCAGCTCTTGCTACTTGCAATGCCCTTTCTCCCATTGCCGGCTTGGCAAACTCCTGCTCATTCTCCAAGCCTCCAGTTATTTAACCTCCAGCCCCTCTTTATAAGCTGTATTCATATCTCCAGGCAGAGTTATTTTCTCCCTCTTCTGTGATGTCCAGGCACCTTGAACCTTGCTCTATTAGCATTTTTCACTAAAATTTTAATAATCTGTTTACCAGTTTGCCTCTCCCACTAGACTGAAAGTGCCTCTGTGGCAGAAATGGTATCATTCATTTTTATACCCCTAGAGCCAAAGTAGGTAAAAGTGTGTTGAAAGAATGAGTGACTGAATAGATGAAGGAATCAAGGAAAGAATTTTCTTATATCTCTTACTTAATGTATATATGGTTTGTACCCCAAATTTCTTCAATATGCAGTGTATTAGTTTTTGCCTGCTGAATAAAAATTATCCCCAAATTTGGTGGTTTTAAACAACAAACATTTATTATTCTGAAATTTCTATGGGTCATGAAGTTGGGCACAGTTTAGGTGAGTGCCCCTGGCCCAACATAGCTCATAAAATTGCAGTTAAGCTGTCAGATGATTGTGGTCTCATCTGAAGACTTGACTAGGGTAGGGGGGCGGGGAGAAGGGAATCTGCTTCCAACTGGGTATTGGCAGGCCTCAATTCCCTCATCACATAGGGAGGGGATTACACAATAACACTAACATCAGAAAGCAGGGATCATTGGGGGCCAACTTAGAAGCCACCTACCACATGTAGTCATATAGTTTTTCCACTTTAAATAACACAAGGGAAGAAAAGAAAAGAGAAGGATGAGAAATTCCTAGTGCAGGACCTTGAGCCAGGTTAATGTCTTTAGAAGCAAAAAAATCCTGATACCTGGGGTGATATCAACAGAAATATTACCTAGCTCTGATGAAAATGCTAGGTGTGTGCATGTGTTTGTGTGTCTGTATACACGTGCATATCCATTAGTCCTGAGAAGGAGATAGTCGTTTTTGTACATCTACAGAAAATGGCAGAGATTAAAACCAAGATTTTTGGTATGGTGACCCTGGGATATGACGCAGGTATAGTGGCCTAGAAGGAAGGGGCTGTTGAGATAGAAGAATGTTCTGTTTTATGCACAGACTAATAGTCAACAAACTTGGGGTCTGATCCTGACTCAGCACAAAGGAGGGGTTAAGAGCATGACTCTGGCATCAGACTGCCTGGGTCCAACTTCCAAGTGATCACACTTATAAGCTGCTCTCTTGAAAAAATTACTTAACTGCTCCGGTTTCTACATCCTCTTCTAAGGAATAAATGAGTTAATACATGTCAAACATTTAGAACTGTGCCAGATACCTGAACTTAATAATTTTTATTACCATTTGTTTCAGTTACCTATTCCTGCATAGCAAAGTACCCCAAAACTTATTAGCTTAAAACAGTAATCATTTTATTATATCTCACAATTTTATGGGTCAGAAATTTGTGCAGGACTTGGCTGGGTGATTCTTCTGTTCCACATGGTGTCGATGAGGATACTCAATGATATTCAGCTGGTGGTGGGCTGGTATGGAGGGTTCAAGATGGTTTCACCCACATGTCTGGTGTGTTAGTGGGGATGGCTAAAAGGCTGGACCCAGCTAGAGCTATTAAGCAGAGCACCTACATGCGACCTCTCTAGCATGGCGGCCTCAGGGTAGTCTGACATCTTACATGGCAGCTCAGGCAGCTTGAAGGGGAAGGGTTATAAGGAACAAGATTGTGTCTGCATGGGCTTTCATGACCCAGACTTAGATGTCACATAGTGTCACTTCTGAAAGAAAGTGAGCCGAAACGCTGGGTACCGATCAAGCTTTATTAGAGGAAAAGAATCTGCTGGGCTGCACTCAAAATGGAGAACAGCAGCAGGCATCGGGGTAGGAGGGCTTATATAGGCTGTAGAGAAGGCTGATGTCATCAGGAAGGGGTTTGGTGCTGGTGTGGAAGATAAGGCTGGCTGATGCAATCAGGTGGAAGGTTGCACCCATGCGGAAGTAGAGGAGTTTGTATTTCTCAGAAACCACGAAGTTTCTCGTAAGGGAAAGGCTGGTGGCCATTTGGTGTTCAGTGTGTGGAAAATGGCGCAAGTCACATCCAAGGTCCACCATTCCTGCCTTTTAAGCATAGGGAGAAGGGAAAAGGAGCAAAGGTCTCATTCTTCTGAAGCTACTTCCTGTTGGAGATGGGCAAAGATATGAAAAAAATAAAATAAAACAATTAGGTGGCGGGGTATTGGTTTCATGTGGGGAGGCTGTATTCCTCTGGAGAAGGGTTGGCGGTTCTCAGGGACTGATGATATCCTTCTGCCAGGAACAATTCAGTGATCTTTTGGTTGGTGAAAGCCTGCATCTGCTCCTGTAAGAAATTAGAAAGTCACCCAAAGAGGCAGGGACCAAAGAGAAGGATCAGTCCTTGAAGCGTTTGGAAAGTGGGGCAAAAGAGGTTAATTTAAAAGGCACATTGCCACAATGAAATTGCTAAGAAGCAGCCTACTGATAGGAGGTAAAAGAGTGCCAGGAGAAATCTCTCTCTATCGTTACAATCCTTTGGGGAAGCTGCCGCCAATCCTGTAGCAAGTACTAGAACAAGTAGTATAATAGAGGTTAGGGACATGGGGTGGCATATACTTATCATGTCCCATGATGGCAAACCCATGATAGCAGGTCAGGATTAGTCTTGGAGCAGCTCTTGTGTGAGCGATGTGAAGCAGGCCTGTAAAAGTGAGAAGATGATCTCCAGGGGAAAGATTATTTTTCTTCTGGAATTGGGGGAAGAGTGGAGGTCCTGGAGATTTTCAGTTTTGTGGGTCCTAAAATGGATGAAGTGTAAGGAGATTTTGGGTTGGGGGTTGGGCGTAGGGACACCTCTGGCTTGGTGTAAACAGATTCTTTGGGTAAAGTCCAAGGCGCTAGTTTTACCAAGGATAAGTGATACCAAGGGGACTTTCCTAGTACCTTTACTGCCATGGGCGTGGTGAGAAGTACTATATAAGGCCCTTCCCAACATGGTGAGAGGGGCTTTGAGATTTGGGTTTTAATATACACTTGCTGTCCCAGGCTCAGTTTAAAGTCTGAGGAAGTAGTGGGGAAAGGATGAGGTAATAGAAGGTTGGCCTGTTCCCAAAAAAGATCCCTAATGAGCGAAAGAGTAGGGAGATACTGGCCCAAAGGTGATAGGCTGGAAGGGAGAGATGTGAAGGTGAAGGGTCTGCCATACATGAGTGAAGGGGCTGAGGCCAGTGGGTTTGTGGGGGGCAGCTCATAGGTGAGTGAGCAGTAAAGGGAGGAGTTGTGTCCAAGGGAGGTGAAGTTCCATGGACAGTTTTGTGAGGTGTGATTTTATGAGGTGATTGGCCTTTTCTACCTTGCCCAATAAATGGGGCCGGTGTAGGTTAGGCCGTGTGATAGGGTGTGGGGAAATGTGTGGAAAGGAATTGAGAAAGAGGTCTAAAGCCTCCATGCAATTATGTTCTAAGGGTCGTGAGTGTTTTAAGATGAGAGTGGCTGGATTTAAGGGAGGGCAAGGTTTAAAGGAGAACTGGGAATTCTCAATGAAAGTAAGGTGAATAAGTTGTAAGCAAGAGGGGGAGAGAGTCAACATGGCCTTATGGCTGAGAAGATCTTGAAAATGACGGGGAGAACAAATAGTTACTTGTTGTCCGAAGGTCAGTTTGGAGCTTTCTTGTGCTAAAAGGGCAGGTGCCGCCTAAGCCCATAAACAGGGAGCCCATCCTCTAGCTGTGGTGTCAAATTGTTTGAAAGATATGCAACAGGGAAGAAGATATCTCCCGCCTCTTGTCCCAAAACCCCAATCCTTGGGTTTCAGTGACAGTGATGTATAGGATAAAAGTATGAGATAGGTTTCGGAGGGATAGAGCTGGGGCTGCAAGGAGAGCGGCTTTTAACCTCTGGAAGGGAGAATGAATGGGCTTTGTGGGATCTAAGGAAATGGCAGGATCCCCTTTGGCTGCCTCATAAAGTGGTTTTGCTAACACACCAAGCCTCATAAAGTGGTTTTTGGCAGGATCCCCTTTGGCTGCCTCATAAAGTGGTTTTGCTAACACACCAAAGTTGGGAATCCACACATGGAGATATCCTGCAAGCCCCAGGAAAGAGAGAATTTCAACCTTTGTAGTAGGAGTAGGGAGTTCAGAAATTAGACTCTTGCAATCCACCGTTATTTCTCTGGTGTTGGTGGTGAGGTGGACTCCCAAATAGGTGACTGAAGGAGAAGAAATTTGGGCCTTGCTAGGGGACACTCAATATCCCCTGGAGGCCAGGAAACTAAGGAGAGCAACAGTGTGGGCCTATGAATCCTCCTAGGAAGGGCTACAAAGGAGGAGGTCATCCACATATTGTACTAAAGTGCTAGAGGTTGGAGGAAGTTCAAATAAGTCTTGAGCGAAGGCCTGGCTGAAGAAGTGGGGACTATCCCGAAACTCCTGAGGTAGTACTGTCCAGGGGAGTTGTTGGGAATGATGCATATCAGGATCAGTCCAAGTGAAGGCAAACAGGTTTTGACAGAAAGGGTGTAAGGGAATAGAAAAAAAGGCATCTTTGAGGTCAAGTTCAGAGAAGAAACGTGTTGTTGTTGGGATTGTGGATAGAAAACTATAGGGGTTAGAAATGATTGGGTGTGGTGCTGACAACACCAAGTCGAGGGTTAAGATCCCCTTACTGGTTATCTTTAAAAAAAAAATTTTGGGCCGGCCCAGTGGCGCACTACTAGTGCGCCACTTGGGAGCGTGGCAGCGCTCTCGCCGAGGGTTCGGATCCCACATACAGACTGGTTCCCACTCACTGGCTGAGCGAGGTGTGGGCGCAACACCGAGGGTTGCGATCCCGTTGCCGGTCCCGGTCCGGTACGGGCGTGACACTGAGGGTTGCGATCCGTTGCCAGACACGAAAAAAGACCAAAAAAAAAAAAATTTCTGTGTGAATTTGGTGTGATGTAGGGTGTAGGAAAGGGGTTGAGTGATCCATGCACGGTATTCTAATCCTGTGACCCCTACTATTGTAATAGAGGAAGGGGTTGTTGGTCCTGCATATTCAGGAAGGGTAGAGTAAGTGGCCCCCGTATCAATGACAAAAGAGATCAGCTTACCTGCTATGAGGAGAGTTACCCTGGGTTCACCTGTAGTGATCTCCATGGGGGCCTTGGGCCCTGGGCATCATCAGTCTT